TTTTACAGGAGGTTGTAATGCCAAGTGATGGACAGGTTGGAGGTTGTGTTGCTAAGTGATGGACAGGTTGGAGGTTGTGTTGCTAAGTGATGGACAGGTTGGAGGTTGTGTTGCTAAGTGATGGACAGGTTGGAGGTTGTGATGCTAAGTGATGAACAGTGATGGATGGTGATGCTAAGTGATGGACAGGTTGGAGGTTGTGTTGCTAAGTGATGGACAGGTTGGAGGTTGTGTTGCTAAGTGATGGACATGTTGGAGGTTGTGATGCCAAGTGATGGACAGGTTGGAGGTTGTGATGCTAAGTGATGGACAGGTTGGAGGTTGTGATGCTAAGTGATGGACAGGTTGGAGGTTGTGATGCTAAGTGATGGACAGGTTGGAGGGCCGCTAGGGGAAATAAAATGGAGTGTAATTGCACTTGGTAATTGTGCATAGCTGAGTGTTGGATGACAATATTCAGGTACCTTTGATGTGATTTTTTTTCTTTGGGATGAAATTTGAAGAAAACTTGTATGACTGCAAACATGTTTAAGGGCATTGTGACAAACATTTTCTATGGCGTCAAAGTGATTGACAAACAGATTTTTGAAATTCATCTGACATTACTCAATAGTAAACATCTTTAACTATTTCTGAAATTGCGCTATCCAGACATGCATTGAAACCTGGCATATATTCCTCTTATTACAATACTTTTGAGTGGTTTGACATAAAATGCACGCATTATTCAAGCATGCGAAAAGGATATAATCCCTGAACTTGCTCAACAAATACAGCCACCATGTCTGCCATTGCTCGCTCAAAATCCTTGATTGTGTCCTGTAAAACACACGAACAAAACATTGAAATATACCATCTAGTGGTTCTATGGCTAGCCCAAATTGACATTTACTCAGAATTCATTATTTTAATGAGGATAACCACCTCTCTTTGCCTTTCTGTTAAGATATTCATTATGAAAGAAACTATCTAGGGAAACTGACTAGGTGCTTATAAATGATTATAAAGATGAACAAAGAAATTGACTGGAGAGGGAGTTGAACCTGCAACCCCCGGAATACCATACCAGTGCTCTACCAACTGAGCTATCCAGCCCTACGTTGGTGGCTGTTCCCATTTGTCAATATCTCTGTTCAGGGGTGCTAGCCAAAAGCCATTAAACCTGAAACACCATGTAACAGGGATCATGCCCCAATTACACGATACAACCTGGGAAGTGCAGTGGTGAACAGGGATCACTCGGAGAGGATATGGCTTTTTGAACATATATTACGAAAGACACTATCACAGGCAACAGAGATATTGACAAATGGATAGCTCAGTTGGAAGAGCACTGGCACGGTATTCCAGAGGTCGCAGGTTAAAATTCCGTTCCAGTCGATTTCTTTGTTCATCTTTATAAAAATATTAATCATATACAAACTACCAAAAAACCCAATCCCCCAAGATCTTGGCTATCTGGCGACCATCTTTTTAAAATTTGGCATCCATGTACATGTACAAACATCCATGAACTTTTAAATTCAATTTGACATGTAGTGGTGATAATTTATTTACACTCTCCCAAGTTAAGCCTGTGCACTGAGCAAAAGTCTGTGGGGTAACAGTCAACATTTTTTATCGACAATATGAAAAATGGGCACTTTGCAAGAATATCTTTGACCAATCTTCATAACATTTGCATGACTGCAAGATAGCATCAGAAAAAGTACTGAAGGCTCAGCTTGATTAACCCTCCTATGCTGAAGTCACTCTTTGGGTCACTTGGTAAACACCTCAAAGAAGCACAGCTGTGTGGTGTTGTGCACTGCACCAACCTGCAAGAGAGTGACCTTGGGCACTTTTGCATATTTGTGCTGTAAAACTTAAGGAGGTTTAAAGGACTACACTTTGACAATACCAGTCAAACTGTACAGGCCTCACCCCCTGGCTTTTTCAGGTTTATGGCCTGTGGTCTCTTTGTCCAACTTTAACGTCAAAGTCACCCGTCTCTGAAATACCTGGAATCTACCACCATCACCATTCACACCTACCTCTAGCTGGTCGACGAGCTGCAGTTCATAGCCCATTAGGGTGTCCCAGAGTTTGTCCACCTCCCCCTTGAACTCGGCCACCTTGTCCTCCAACATCTTGGGGTCACTCATCAGGGCAAAGTCGGCAAACACCTGTTCAAAGTTCAAGGGGATGAACGGCAGTCAGACTGTGGTAAAGATGCCACTAACCTGTTGGTGACCATGGCTGCCAAAAGTGGTTGGAACTGGATCGTCAATGTGCTCATCAATCTTCGGGCTTCTTTGACTGAATATGAAACACTGGAGGTTTTTAAATGTAACCATATGGTCCAGGCTACAACTTTCTAGATGATTCATTGTCCATTTTAGTAAGTCCCATCTACCATTCTCAAGCTATCAGAGTAGAATTTGGATGTTTGGTCAATAACATTTAATACAAAATCTGTCACTGCGTAGCCAAGATCTCAAAGGCAGTATCATCTCTCGCCCATTGTAGTCACATCAACTGTAAGGTAACAAGAAACCGGATGACGATGTAGGGTTAATAACATCAGCACATTGCATGGAGCATGCTTCACAATGGACTACACATTAGTACCTTCTTCTTGTAGCGGTTGAACTCCTGGATCTTAACGATGCCCATGTCTTTGTTCTCCACCTTGGCCTCCTTCACGCAGGTGTAGAACTCTTCCACCTCGCGCTGTCTCTTGGCGTGCTCTGCCAGGCCGTGGTCAAAGACCTGCTTGCAGATGCCTACCATCTTCTCCTTGAAGGTGTTGGAGGGAGTTAAGGGAGGCTAAGCATCCACTTGGAAAGGGATGAACAGGGAAAGGAAGGACTC